AGGGAAAGTGGGAAAATACCCAAATCAGAAAAGCAATTTCTGGATCAATATTCAAAGAAAAAAAAAATTGTGTGTGTGTGTGTACGTGCGCGCGCTCGTGTGTGTGTGTGTGTGTAATGTGCGTGTGTGTGTTTGTGTGTGTGTGTGTAATGTGCGTGCGTGTGTGTGTGTGTGTGTGTGTGTGTGTGTGTAATGAAAGGAAAGGAAGATAGAACTGAAGTCAAAGTCCTTTGGAATTTAGTCCTCCTTCCTTCTGCGGTCTCCTCCCTCCTAATGGACATGTGCAGACGATCAGTCCTCAACTCCCTGATTCTAAAACCTGGCAGAGCGCAGAGATTGGCAAGCGCAGGCCTCTTAGGGAGCAAGCAGACTTGCCGCCAATGGCGGCTCATGCAGCTCAGATTGTGAGATACTGTTGCATCCAACTGAGTAATACCCAGCCTGTCGCAGCCTCCACTGTTTGTTTTGGAAACAATACAAAACAAGCAAACAATCAAAAACCTGAGTGACACTTCAGAGTCTGACAGGGAGCAGGGATGGAGTGGGGTTGAGGGCTGCCTGGAAAGGGTCTGAGAATAGTAGAGAGGTGGGATACACAAAGTTGCTGTTTTACATTAAATTGTGAAACTCAAAGATACACGAAATAACTGCCCTCGAGGCACCACTTTTCCAACAAAAGTGCAAATATTATTTAACCAGATCCAGAGAAGTGTATCGGAGTTTTTTTGTTTTGTTTTGTTTTCCAGTGAGTGCACTGGATAAACCTAGAGGAGTGTAAACTTTCTGGGTGTGTTTGTTCTGCAGTCTGGATCTGAAACTGGGTGGGCAGTATGCTGATCTATCCTCTCTATTCAGGTGGGGAGGAACGCAGCTGGCAAGAAGCTCCCAGGTGCCCACTGCCTATGACCAGAGTAATACTGAGTCTTCAAGTCTTGTATGTACTGGAGCCCAATAGCCTCACACACAGACTTTTCTTACTCACAGGACTTAATTAGCAAACGCGGCCTAAAGACTTTGAGGACGCCAGCAGAGCATCAACGGGAACTTTGCTCCCAAAGATGAGGCACCTCAAAATGTCAGGCTCAAATCATTGATTCCAGTATTTACTGGAATATCTTCCTGAGTTCAGTTTTAATTTTCTTTAAAACAGATAAAGACACCTTCTTTGTCTCTGGAAGAGACTTGCTTACCCCTTCCAAGGAGCATGATTATGCATGCAGATGTAAGATGTCTGCCCGTATCCATGGGATTTGGTCATCCATTTTTCATTGGAAATAAGAAACCAGATGCCCCTGGATTCCTTTTCAGACTTCATCCTAGATAGTGACATTTGCACATTTTCAAAAAGGGTCTCCTGTTCTCTTCTGACACATTTGTTCAAAAGACATTTAAAGTTAATCCAACTCTTTAAAAATAGAATGGAATTTGAATGAACTGATAGTATCTCAGTACTGGAGTTTGACAGTAAAAGACTTTTTGTGACCTTTTAGTTTCAGCTTCTTAGGTACAAGTGTGCATTGATAATGGTGGTGGAGTGGAGAGGATGTGCAGCTGGTCCAAGGGAAGGAGATCTTCAAGCAACTGATCATTAGACACTTATGACTTTAAGTGTCTAATGATCTCAGAAAGTATGGCAAAAGGTTAATTACATCCTTGAAGCTCAAGGTGCATGGCCAGTGTACAAGGCAATTGGGCTGGGAAACAGCTAGGTCTGACTGTGATCTTGGCTACATCTCTATGAGCATTTGTTTTCTTAAAAGAAAGGAGGAGGTTATTAATGCATTTGTCCATCTGTTCTTACTCAGAAGATATATTTTTATTCATTGTGTTTTTAGCTAGAAGACACAGTTCAGAAACAGAAAATTCAAGAGTTCATTTGTTAAATTTAAAGTGTTAATCACAATGAAGCACTTGCATTAATGTCTTCTAATACAGGCATTTTCTTGCTTTTGACCCCTGACTCACTTAATTACGAAAAGCAGGAAATTACCTATGTAGCATAAGGTTTTGCTTAATAGTTTTTTTTAAAACCAAATTTCTGTAAAAATAAGGCAAAATATGTTAGTCTCAATATCTCTTGTAGTATTTCGGATTACTATGTAATGTGATTTAAAAAAAATCAAGGAATAGTATATCTTGGGATATAAGTTCTTTTCTTAGGGGGAACGTCTTCCTCAATATTTATTACATGCACATACTTTTGTCATCAGAACCTTTTATTTTGTAATCTAACTTTTTCATTTCCATTTCAGTATCTATCTGATGACATCACTGGGAGAAATGGAGCTCAGCTCTTCCTCACTGTGCTGGACTAAGGTGTAGTTAATTCCTGTTAACTTTTATCTGAGAGAAAAAAAAAAATTGCTAGCCTCAGACACAGCTTTGCACTTTGTTTAGCTGCTGAAATACTGGGCTTTCAGAAACTGGAGCATGAGGGACAAACATTTATGCCAGTAATTCTTTTTCTACACCTGCATGTTTCTTTTGAGCATGCTCTTTGTTTCAGCCAGAAACACCCATAAACCTCTATAAGAGATTTTTCAACTCAGGTGCCCATATCAGAAAGAAAAGTAATGTTTTTGAAAAATCTGACAGTATTAAAATTTTTACACCAAACTGTTAATATTAAACTGCCAAAGAAAAAGTTACAACTGGGAACACACAGAGAATTCATCACTTTACAGGAAAAATAAATTTGTGGTTTATGCAAAACTATTTAATATCTACAGGAATACAGAGGATATAGATATGCCTTAAGGGATATATGGTTTATTAGAGCTCTTATTGAAAATGAAATCTGAATCTGCTTTAAGGAAATGGGAAGCAATTTGTAACTCTAATAAAAATTCCAATATTTTATTAATCACTGTAAATGGGTATGTGAATTAACACATGCACAAAACAAGGTTGGCCCTAAAAATATTGCTTCTGGTGAAAATGTACATTAAAGTAGATGTTCAAAATTAAGCTAATGTATCTGAAAATATTACATTTCTCAGAAATTTATAACATGTTAAGGGCAAAGATTCATGGCATCTCTAGTTCTATACCGACAATATGGGTTATTTGAAGGAAACTTATGTATGAAAAGAACTAAGTCTGCCTGGAGGAAAAAAAAAAATCCCTGTGTTCTGCAGTACTTGTAAACTAAAAGGATGATGTCAAATCCATATGGAGGTATTCTAACTGTTACTTTTAATTTATAAAAGAAGGAATAAAACAAATGAAATAAATCAATAAATATTTAAAATATATATCTATATTAAGTATAAATAAAATATTTTGAGACTGGTTGGGTACCTAATGCCACACTTTGGCAAAGGTCAAGTAACATCATGATGGAGATTGTTTCCTCCAATTGTTATTCTTCCTTATCTTCTTTGATCCTCATCCCCCATAGTTAGGATATTTTGGCACCACTTCAAGCTTATAGAATGTGAGTCTGAAATAAGTTGCTCATGACCATTTTTGCCATTGCTAGGGAAAAGCTTACCTAGAATGAACACCTAGAAAAATAGTCAAGAAATGCAGAGAGTCAGTTTCCTCACAACATTATTTTCAGTACCTGAATTCAACTTCGCCTAAACTAGCTAAGTTACTTGAACCAATAATTATCTTTGTTTGCTTAAGTGAGTTTCAGCTGGGTTTCCATCACTTGCAACCAAGATAATTCTGATAAATGCAATCATCTTGATAAAAATTTGGAAGATCATCTTTTTCTTTTAGTTCTTCTTCCTCTTTGCCCCGCCTTCTTCATTACTACTGTTACTGTGAATAGGGAAATTATATGCTACAGACTATCTCAGAATCATAAAACCTGAAAGCAAATTTTACTTTATACAAATTCCTTGGACTATGATAATTAACAAAGAGGAATAAAATTCAAGCAGTATAGTGTGTAGGAGGCCAGATTTTGGATTCAGACAGACCTGATTCAAATTTTAACTTTGCTACTTTTCATCTGAGTGACCTTACACAAGTCATTTAAATTTTTATTTTATTTTATTTCATCTATATTCAGTTTCTTTCTTCTAAGATTTTAAGGTTTTACTTCTAATATCTTCATCATAGGATATGTTTCTGTAAGTCTGTGAATGTATCTGGGGATTTAAGAAAATAATATATCCATACCACTTAGCATAATACCTGGAACATAGTAAGCACCCACAGCTGTTTTCGTCATTAAAGAGAAAATGAAAGTTAATTTCGACAATGTGTTCATCTTTTTTTAAACATTTTGAACATGACAGAATTTATTCTTTTTTTGCTTTTATTAAAATATAGTTAAAATACAATATTAATATGTTTCAGGTGTAAAACATAGTTATTTAACATTTATATACCTTAGAAGGAGTGTATTGATCCTTATATTAACTATACAACTATACATCTTTTGTGGCCAGACACTAGATGAGGAAGAAATTTTCCCAACTTTTGGTTAAATCCGAAAGCA